TATTTATTTATTATGTGTATAGTGTTCAGTCTGCATGTATGCCTGCATGCCAGAAGAGGGCGCCAGATCTCATTACAGATGGTTGTGAGCCACCATGTGGGTGCTGGGAATTGAACTCAGGACCTCTGGAAGAGCAGCCAGTGCCCTTAACCACTGAGCCATCTCTCCAGCCCCGACAGCTGATATTCTAACCAAGGGTGAGAGGAGAGCAGAAGAGAAAGGTGGTGTTTGTTTGTTTCGGTGTTTTGAGACAGTGTCTCCTGCAGCTCCCTGTGCCCTTGAACTTGATCCTCCTAATTCCATTTCCCAAGTGCCTGGATGGCAGATGTGCATCATCACACCTCACTGAAAGAGGGGCCTTTTCAGTGTTACACTTTTCCCCCCATTGTTATACTTGAAGTGGACCATGAAGCTGAGTGTGCCGGTGTGTACCTATAGTGCCAGCACTCAGGAGGGTGAGGCAGGAGGCTGACTATTAACTTGAGACTACGTTGCTGGATCCTGTTTCAGAAAACCAAATCCCGCTGGGCTTGATGCTCACACCTTGAATCCCAGCACTCGGGAGGCAGAGGCAGGTGGATCTCTGTGAGCTCGAGGCCAGTCTGATCTACACAGTGAGACTGTCTTAAAAAACCAAACCCAGCAAAGCCCAGACACCAAACCAGAAAACAAGAGATGAGTGATCAGGCCTACAAGGAGGAGGGTGTTGGAGTCCCATCCCCTTCCCCATTGTGGGGACAGGCTCCAAGGGCAAACTGTTCAGCTGGTGTGCTGTGGTGATGCCGGAGAACCCTCTGGAAACAGCACTGCCCTGCACTGCACTGCACTGCACTGCACTGCCCTGCCCTGCCCTGCACTGTCCTTCCCTGCCCTGCACTGCCCTGCACTGCCCTGCCCTGCCCTGCACTGTCCTTCCCTGCCCTGCACTGCCCTGCACTGCACTGCACTGCACTGCACTGCCCTGCACTGCCCTGCACTGCACTGCAGCAGATGCTGCCATTTTTCTCCTGCAGACAGTCTAAAGAAGTAGTTTCTGCCTCCCTACTGTGGACAGGGCCAAAGGGGGCTTTAGGACAAGGTGGGCACTGCCAGGCCACAGAGAGGACAACTGTCTCTATTCCAAGGCTAGCCCTAGCCAGCCTCAGAAGCTCACTGTGTGGATTTGGGGTACCTCCTCCAGAACCCCAGAGGACCAAGCATTGTCCTTGTCCAGTCCACGCTCCCCTCCCCTTCCCATGCACAGGGCTCAGCCACTCACAGTGCATGAGGGCAACCCAGCGGGCCTTTCCTTGACCGCAGAATCCACTGACTCTGTCATGACCTATGCTGACATCATCCACCTGGTCACCAAGAACATGGAGACTCGGAGGAAGCGGCTCAGGCAGCTGGACCAGCTGCACGAGAATGAGTGGGCCTATTTTAACAACTATCTAACGGAGCTGCAGGAGAACTTTGAGAGGTAGGAGGGCGGGTGCAGAGCCACGCATGGACACCAGTCCACTGCAGCAGCCAGCAGGGGTGAGCTGGGGTGGGGCGGGGCTGCTAGCTCGCTCTCCACCTTCACTGAGCACTGTCCGCTTTCCTGTGGCCAGATTCGAAACAGCTCATTCACGGAACCTAGCTCCTTTCTTTAGAATGTTTGTTTGTGTGTGTGTGTGTGTGTGTGTGTGTGTGTGTGTGTGTGTGTGTGTGTGTTGAATTCCTGGTTCAAGTTATCCTCCCGCATCAGCATGCTGAATAGTTGAGTATGTACTGCCAACCCAGCTTATGGCATCATCTTTTAAAAAAAAAATTATTTTATGTGTGTGAGTGTCTTGCCTGCCTGTATGTATGTATACACCTTAATGCCTGGTGCCTATATAGAAGTCAAAAGAGGTTGTTGAATCTCCTGGAATTGGCATTACAGATGGTTGTGAGCCACCTGCCATGTGGGTGCTGTGGACTGGGCGTGGGTCCTCTCCAGGAGTAGCCAGTGCTCTTAACTGCTGAACCATCAATCTAGCCCCTCATGGCAACATTTTAATTCACACAAACATATATTAATGATCATCTTGTTGACCTCGAATACTCATAACCTGATTCTTCATCAGGTAATTATCTCCTTGCATTCCAAAAGCCAACCGAAGGTTATCCAGTTCAGCAAGCCATTGTGTGTGTACCCTGTGAACACACTCTACCGAAAGCTTCCAGCAGCCCAGCTGCCAACACTTCCTGAGCATTTCCTGTCTACCTGGCACTGTTAAACATTTGACCTACACTAACTCACACCTCACCACAAACCTAGTGACCCATGTGAACACACTAGCACGGAGAAGTGAAGTCATTTTCCCCAGGTCACACAGCAGAGCCCCAGTGGACTCATCTTCCTTCTGAGACTATGCATATACCAGCCCTCTCTTAAGATGGCAGACCCCTCATCTCTCCTGTAGTTCATTTTATGTCTATTCTAAAACCCTAGCAGTCTGCATCTGGGACGTGGTGACTCCTGTGTGGTCAGATGTTTCCTGGCAGGCTGGCAGACTAATGTAGATGTCTGTCTGACAAGATCACAAAAGATCACATTGTGCTGGGCGATGGTGGTGGCGCACGCCTTTAATCCCAGTCCGTGGGATACAGAGGCAGGTGGATCTCTGAGTTCAAGGCCAGCCTGGTCTACAGAGTGAGTTCCAGGACAGCCAGGGCTACACAGAGAAAACCTATGTAAAAAAATAAAAGGAAATAAAAGAAAGAGAGAGAGAGAGAGAGAGAGAGAGAGAGAGAGAGAGAGAGAGAGAGAAAAGATCACGTTGAGGTTTTCATCCTTTTTCAATCCATGTCTTTTGTCATTTTATCCCCCAGGGAGGTGAAGATTATCGATCAAAAAGTAGCAGAAAAAAGAAAGGCCAACCATAACCACGTCTCTTCCTCACTACTGTTTGATGACTTGTTTTTCAAGAAATCCAGAGGAACCCCCCACAAGGAAACAGCTTTTCTCTCAAGGTTTGTTCACACAGAAGCCGTAGAAAATGTCTAGTGTGAATGATGGGAAAATTCTCGCCACGTGGGGAAGGTATGCAGGTGGATGTCAGGGTCCAAAGGACACCCACTGAACTTTCCTCGTTCACACCAAATTTCTGAACTGGTTTCATTGACATCCATTTTGCTTCCCCACAGGAAGAAAAAGAGGGAGATCGAAGAGAAACTGAAGGTTTTCCAGTCCCCTTTCTCCTTACGGAGCCCCATGGACACCTATTCCCTGGGCCTAAAAAGCCCCTACAGAATCGGGTCTCCTTCCAGTAGCAGGTGAGGTGGGCCACCAGGGGGAAGACCGGGAACTAGGAAGCACCGCCCTCCAGCCCAGCTCCCTCAGTTTGCTGGAGAGACCTGGCTGGGGAGCTTTGTACAGGGCCGCTGCGTCTTCTCAGACGTTTACTTCTCGCTATTTGAAGTACTGCCGTAATAGTACTACGTTGTCGTGACAACAATAGCTCCATTTACCAATGGTTTATCCTGTGCTGAACATGAAGAAAATAAGCCCGGCACAAACATGAGCTCATAGCCAAGTGAAGCTTTCCTGAGGGAGGGACTGGACTCAGTAGCCCAAGCATAGACACGGTTACATCCTACTGCCGCGGGCCCCTGTGGGGACGCAGGAGTAGGTGCCCACAGCCCCAGCTGACAAGCAGCCGGTGCCGGGCAGCAAATACATCAGCAAATTAAATGCCCGCAGTACCGGGGACCCTGGGAAGATGGAGCAGGGGTCCAGGAGTGATGTCACTGAGTCTGGCACAGATGACAGTTTCCTGGCAGAAGGAGCGGGAGGGGGGATGTGAAAGAGGCAGCAGCTAGGAGGGCAGAGCCAGGGTGGGAAGAAGCTCAGGTGGTGGGGAGCACCGCATGGGAGGAGGGCTGAGCCAGGGTGGGGAGAAGCTCAGATGGTGGGGAGCACCGCATGGGAGGAGGGCTGAGCCAGGGTGGGGAGAAGATCAGATGGTGGGGAGCACCGCATGGGAGGAGGGCTGAGCCAGGGTGGGGAGAAGCTCAGATGGTGGGGAGCACCGCATGGGAGGAGGGCAGAGCCAGGGGTGAACCCGAAGCCGGGGGAGTGGGGGGAGAGGCCACCACATGGGAGGAGGGCAGGGCAGGGTATGGGCAGGATATGGGGGCGTTGCTCGTAGACTGGACAAACAAGGAGGTTTTTATGAAGCCCTTTGTTTTCTGTTATGGGGACCGCTGGAAGATGGTCGGCAAGGGCATCGACTGATTAGATTTGGCTTTTCAGAAAGCCAATAGCAGGTTTTAGTGTTCATGTCGGCGGGACTTGTAAAGGATCCCACAATTCCTTGTCTGGATCCCACAATTCCTTGTCTGTACTTGGTACCTGTCTATACCTCTCAGTCAGGAATCCCCAGACTGTCTCAATCTTGGCTCAGAAAAATATTTCAGAAACTAGTCCTTAATAACATATTACTAATTAAGAAACCATTTACAAGCAGGAAATGGTGGCATGGGGCTGTAATCGCAGCACTTAGGAGGATGAGGCAAAAGGATTATTTTTTTTTAAGATTTATTTATTATGCATACAGCATATATGCCTGCAGGCCAGAAGAGGGCACCAGATCTCATTACAGATGGTTGTGAGCCACCATGTGGGTGCTGGGAATTGAACTCAGGACCTCTGGAAGAGCAGTCAGTGCTCTTAACCATTGAGTCATCTCTTCAGCCCCTAGCAAAAGGATTTTAAAAGAACAAGTACCTTGGTATCTAACTGGTGAATTAGTTCTTTTTGTTGCCGTAATGAAACATCCAATCGTGAGTGTTCATGACAAAAAGAGATTTATTTAGCTTACAGTTCTGGAGGTCTCAAAACACGTGTGTGTGTGTGTGTGTGTGTGTGTGTGTGTGTGTGTGTGTGTGTGTGTGTGTGTGTGTGTGTACTATGTGTGCTGTGAAAAATATGGAAAAGAAATCAGAATTCTAAAAGGATCACACGCAGCCAGGTAGTGGTGGTACATGCCTTTAATCCCAGCACTCGGGAAGCAGAGGCAGGCGGATCTCTGTGAGTTTGAGGTCAGCCTGGTCTACAAAGTGAGTTCCAGGAAAGCTACACAGAGAAACCCTGTCTTGAAAAACAAAATAAATAAATAAATAAATAAATAAATAAATAAATAAATAAATAAATAAATAAAATTAAAGGATCACATGCATGCATGTACACACACACACACACACACACACACACACTGGGCCATAGCTCACTGGGTAAAGCCCTTGCCACACAGGTGTGAGGACCTGATGGCTAGGACCCAATGTGACCGTAATGCCAGTATTCCTACAGTGAGAGGGCAGTGGAAGTTGAGACGGGAGAACCCTGCAGGCTGGTGGGCTAGCTAATCTTGTAAACAACAACAACAAAAGGTAGAAACAAGGACACCCAAGGTCGTCCTCTGGTGAACACACATGCGCCATGGTACACATGTGACCCCACAAATATCATACACACGTGCACACACACAAAAGGATGGTATAAACACCTGTGTCAGCTGACTGCTCCCTAGGGGCCCCAGGTAAGGGTTAACCAAGCCAACATGTTCCCTTTTGGTTTACCCCACAGAAAAGGTCAAGGTGTGGAAACTGTAGAAATGTTAGAGAGAACCACAGGTAATCATTAACTTTCATTACGGTTACTTCTGTGGTCCTTACCGCGCCTCTTAAGTCAGGAAGGCTTGGAGCATGCCTGGCTGGGAGTCCTGCCAGGCTCCACCCAAACGGACTCCTTTTTGCTGGGTCCTGCACCTGGGTTAAATTCTCAGAACCCAAAGGATAGCTCACAACCATCTGTAATTCTAGTTCCAGGGGATCTAATGCCCTCTTCTGGCTATATATGTGCCCACAAAACACTCACACACATAAAATAAATAAATCCTAAGAAAAGGAAAATTTAATTGTTATTTTCATTGAAGTAAGGTGAAGCAAAGCAGAGTCACCTCTCTGTCTCTTTGGTTTTTTGACACAGGGCTTCTCTGTGTAGCCCTGACTGCTGGAACTCGCTCTAGAGACCAGGCTGGCCTCGAACTCAGAGATCTGTCTGTCTCTGCCTCCCAAGTGCTGGGATGAAAGGCGTGCGCCACCACGGCCAGGCTTGACATAGTCATCTTGTAAGGGCTGAAGAGAGAGAGACAGCAGTCTCGATCACTGAGCTTTTAACATCAGCTCCCTCAGAACCCCCTGGTTCCGTGGCCTTATGTTGTTCTTATCTTGAGTCTCAGCCTCTTCCTCTGCAAAATGGGAATGATAACAGTGTGTATGGCTTAGGGTTGATGTGCAGAATGACTGGTCAGCTCTTGGTAACACCCACAACACAGTGCCTGATACAAGCAAAGTAGACAGAACAGGGGTGTATCACCATCATCATCGTCATCGTCGTTAACATTACTGTTTGCGACAGGGGCTCACTATGTACCCCAGAGTAGTCTCAAACTGAAGAGCCTGCTGCCTCAGCTTCCTGAGTGCTGGGTTACAGCGTGGGCCACTGCGCCCTGCCCGAGAAGGGCTCCTGAGATGTGAGCAGCCAGTGTTGTACGGAGCTGGCTGTAAGACACCGCTGCGCGGGGCCCCTTGCCCGTGTCCCAGCAGCCCGTTGTACTTCTTCCTCCCTGGAATATCTAAGGTCGGGCCACTGGGGCTGCTTCCGCATCTCTCCAAGCCTGTGGGCTGCTGATCCCATCGCTTCACTGGGCACTAATAGGGTTGTGATTCATTCAACACAATTATCCACGAGCCAGGACTCTGTTCGCTCATCGTTCCCTAGAACACTTAGGTTATGCTGAGAGCTAGCCTAGATGTCTATTTTAATTTGCTTGTTTTCTTGATATTTTCCCCTTGTGTATTTCCTGCTGTCCACCCCAGATTCTTCCTTGGTTGTATACTTCTCTCCTCCTCCTTGAACATTCAGACCCTCCATGTCACCTGTCATTTGCTGGCCTTTTGATCTGCTCCCCTCAGGTGCTCGATTCTAGCCTGCTGACATCTTGGCCATTCAAGATGTCATTTGTCTGTGTCTTTTCATTCCTCCACAGTGAGCTCGTCACCAAGGTTTCCAAAACCACCCAGGACATGCTCTTTAGACTCTCACCGTCTTCCATGGAGTGAACCCGCCCTCGCACAGGCTCGGACTACAGAGGTGGTGCCTGTGTCTGTTGTCCAATGGGATAGAAAATGGAGTCAGCAATGGCAAACGAGAGCACCCCTGCAGCCAGGAACATGCTGAGTCTTCCCCAGTCCACGGGATAAAGACAATTAAAGGTCACATCTACTACGAGCCAAGGTTAGGGCTGAGAGAAGGTGATTCGCCTCATCCATTCAGACATGTAACTTGTTCTTTCATTCCCTTATTAATGATAACAACACAATTCAACACATCCTTACGAAACATAGCAAGACCTTGTTTCAAAAAACAGGCAAGCAGGGAGGGAGCTGAGCCCAGTAGTGGTGGCGCACGCATTTAATCCCAGCACTCAGAAGGCAGAGGCAGGTGGGTCTCTGCATTTGAAGCCACCTTGGTCTACAGAGCAAGTTCCAGGACAGCCAGGGCTACTCAGAGATACCCTGTCTCAAAAACCAAAACCAACCACCTGCGACACCCAGCCTCGTGGACTGAGCATCTTCTGGATTCTTGGACTTCCCATTCATAATTAACCATTGTTGGATTAGTAAGAAAGAGATTCATTCATTCTTTTTTTTTGGGGGGGTGGTGGTTCTGAGACAGGGTTTCTCTGTGTAGCTTTGCGCCTTTCCTGGAACTCACTATGTAGCCCAGGCTGGCCTCAAACTCACAGAGATCTGCCTGCCTCTGCCTCCGAGTGCTGGGACTAAAGGCGTGCGCCACCACTGCCTGGTGAGATTCATTCTATCAGTTCTGTTACTCTGAAGAACCCTGACTAATACATATTTTGGTACCAGAAGTGGTTGTAGAGCAACAGAAATATAAGGATGAACCTTTTTTTTTTTTTAAGATTTATTTATTTATTATGTATACAGCATATATGACTGCAGGCCAGAAGAGGGCACCAGATCTCATTACAGGTGGTTGTGAGCCACCATGTTGTTGCTGGGCAATTGAACTCAGGACCTCTGGAAGAGCAGTCAGTGCTCTTAAACCCTGAGCCATCTCTCCAGCCCCAAGGATGAATCTTTTAAGCATCTGGAATAGGCTTTCCAATTTGCCAATACTTACAAGTACTGAAACCTCTCCAGGGAGCTCAGAGTGTACTAAAAGTCCGTGATGTGAACTATTTCACAAACTTATAGAAATAAATACATTTGATTATTCTGATTCACCTAGCAGACAAATAAACAACAACCCCCCATAGTTCTGACTTCAAACTGAGAACTGAAGGTGAAGTTTATGTTTCCAACAGCCTGCTGAAGACCAGGAGAGGTGGCTAGAACAAGCAGGGGAAGGAGGATGGAGAATTCCACAGCACCAGGGAAACTTAGAGGGTATGTTCACTGTCCTGACAGTGGTAAGAGGTCTACAGCTTCACACGCCCATAATTCGCTTTAAGGGCATGTATGCTCTTGTGTTAACTACACCTCAGGCAGTTGTTTATAAATGCATGCGTTAGCTGGGTATGATGGTAGATGCCTGTAATCCCAGCACCCAGGAGGTGGGATAGAGAAGATCAGGAGTGCAAAGCCAGCCTCCACCACATCCCAAGTTCAAGACCAAGCTGAGCTTTACTAGACCGTGTCTCAAAATAAACAAAACATAAATTATAAACATAGCTATTTCTGAATTCTGCCCACTGAAATAAAATTAGAAATAAAAACTGACAGCAACCCAGGACACCCTGCCCCAGTGGTAGGTAAGTGTTCTACCAGAGCTGCCCCCACCTCTACCTAGGACTGTGGCTTGAGATAACGTTCCCACTAAAAGGACTCGTATGAACACACCAGGCGGGTGTCCAGTGGTTTCCCACACTGATTCAGAGCACATAGACTTGAGCCAGCTGTGAGTCTGGGGCAGCGTGTAGATGGGAGTCACGGCAGACCCTGCCTCACTGTGTCTGTTCCTCATTACTCCACGAAAAGTACTTGGAGCAGCGCCCAGCTCCAGCAGGGGCTGTGCGTGATGCTGTCCTGCTCACTGCACACCACGAACATGTGGCCTCATGGCCTCTTCCCTTTGCACCTGAGACCTGCTTTCTCTCCTGAACCTCACACTGCAGAAGAACCACTGCCCCTCCCTGAAGAAGCCTGGGTGGGTCTGTCTCCCACCCTGTAAGGCAGGCCAGCCCTCAACCATCTTCCTGCTCAATGCAAGGCTTACACCATTAAGGTCTTCCCAGGGACAGCTGTACTTGGGTCCCAGTGGCCCGCCTGATCTTCATATGGCTCTATGTCTCCAGTTCCCTGCAGGACTCTGCTTCTTTAGGGCAGATGTCTGTCTTTATCTCTGTATCCAGCAGAGAGCTGAACTGAGAAGTGTCTGATGAGTGCTGACGCTGTCCATGGTCACAGGTAAGGCTCTGATATCTGTGTGGGAAGGTTAGGTTTGCACCTTGGGAAATGTGAACAAATGAGAAGTTCAAAACAGATGTGTCACTTACATGTATATATTGAATATATCATATGTCTACATTAAAACATTTCCATAGAATTCATTCACTCATGTATGTTAAAATGTACGTGACACACAGTTATTTAGGGCTTGCTCATCTATTATTTATATTGCGTTAGCTCTTAGCACATATCCTAAGTTTACTTACATGTTTTTGGTTTACATTTTTTTTAATTTGTTTGCAGCACTTGCTGTGGACCCTGCCTCTGCTAAGCAGGGACTTGACCAGTAAACCACTCCTTCAGGTTTCAGGGTCTTGCTACATTTTCTGGGCCACCCTTGAGCCTTAGCCACTGGGCCCAGCTGCCTCTGCATGGTTTGGGGGTGGAGGGTGGGAGGCATGATCATGGAAGAAGTTAAACCAAAGGAGTGGGGATATGTCTGCACCCCGATGTCTGCATTCCTGTCCATCCTGCCCCCGTTTGTATTATTTGTCTGAAGTGTGTCATCCCTGCTGGGGGCTGCTGGCCCTCCCAGAGCCGTGAAACAAGACTTCTTTTCTGGTAATGGGAGTTGGTACAAACATTTCCAGGAGCCTAAGATTCTTTTCAAAGTCCCTGGAACTATCTGTGCCTGCCCCATAAGCCAGCCACACTTCTGGAAATCTACCCTAAGGAAAACTCAGAAAAGAAGGCATACAGGAGATGTTTTGTTTGTCATCTCTGGTAAGAGGAGACACTTGTTAATATCGGACATTCCATGGAATTCTGCGTGGCCATTTAAAAGCTAACCCTAGGGGTGTGGCCGAGTGGCAGGGTACTTGTTGAGTATGTCTGTTTCGGTTCTGTTAATGTTTTCAATAAAGATCAATTGTTTTTATTTCGGTTTTGGTTTCTAAAACTTGGAAGATTTTTTCTTTGCCCCTCCCCCCCATTGAAACTATAGGCCGCCCCTAGACGCATGTGCACACATCAGAGAGTGTGTCGGGGTGTGTCCCTGCAGTAGTAAGCAGTGTTTGAAACTGGGCACAAGATGAAGGGAGGCAGAACAAGAGCAGAGGTCGGGTCTGGAGACGGAGCTTGCAGCCCAAGGAGATGCTGTCCTACTGTACCGTAACGTCATACACCGCCCCACAGCAGCGTTTGGCCTCCCATTGTCCTGCCAACCGCTGGGGCTCAGCCTAAATGCCATGTTTCCCCTCCCCCTAAGAAGAGATCAGGTGCCCCGCGTGCATTCCCATACCACCCTGTATTTCTATTATTTTTCAGATTTAGTTTTTATTTTTGTTTATGTGTGTGTGTGTGTGCAGGCCAGAAGAGGGCATTAGATCCCCTGGATTTTAAGGCAGTGTGTACTGTGGAATACTCCTTCTGTACACTGTGAAAAATGTGTTCCTCTCATTGTTAATAAAAAGCTGATTGGTCAGCCGGGTGGTGGTAGGACACACCTTTAATCCCAGCACTCCGAGGCAGAGCCAGGCGGATCTCTGTGAGTTCGAGGCCAGCCTGGTCTACAGAGCAAGATCCAGGAAAGGAGAAAAAAAAAAAGGTTAATTTAAAATGTTTAAAATGTAAAAGCTAGAAACCAGCCTGAGCTATCGGCTGAGCATTTATAATTAATAAGTCTGAATGGTTATTTGGGAGCGGCTGCAGAGACACAGAGAAACTCCGCCTACAGTTGTGAGTCACCTCGTGTGGGTACCAGGAACTGAACTCAGGTCCTCTGGAAAACCCGTGACTCCTAACTGCAGAGCCCCGTGCGTACTCCTGCGAAGGAGAGTAAGACGGCCCGGGTAAGAGCTCCCCGCTATGGACAAACAGCAGGCGCATGCAGGGCTCAGTGCAGGCTGCGTGGACCTTACTTACTCCTCACCTGTTTGCTGATGCTGGGGATCAGTCTCAGGTTCTCAAGTCCAAGTCAAGCCCCTTCCACTGAGCTTCCCCCCAGCCCGTGCCTTACTCTCCAAAGAGCTTGATTCAAAAGTGGAGTTAAAGCAGAAGGACGTGGTTCTCTCTACTTCATCCTGTGAGGGATCACACAACAGTAAGAGAATGACAAAAAGAAGCAAGGTGGCCCACGGGCAGCCTTGGTGCTGAAGGAGGAGCTGAGAGTTCTACATCAGGATCCACAGGCAGCAGGAAGAGAGCCGCGGGGGCTAGCTAGAGCATTTGAAACCCCAAACCACACCCAGTGACACACTTCCTCCAACAAGGCCACTCCTTCTAGCCCCTGTCAAGTAGTGCCACTCTCTAAGGATCAAGCATGCAAATGCACGAGTCTTTGGGGGCCATTCCTGTTCACACCACCACAGGCAGTAATTTGAAAATAGAGTTGGGCATGGTGGTGCAAGCCTGTAATCCTGGCACTCAGGAAAGGGAGGCAGGAGAACTGGAAGTCTGAGCCCAGCCCGGGCTACCTAGTAAGAGCCTGTTTGAAAAGCAACAACAAAAAGTTAGCCTTTAATTCCAGCACTCGGGAGGCAGAGGCAGGCGGATCTCAGAGTTCAAGGCCAGCCTAGGCTAGAGAGTGAGTTCTGGGATAGCCAGGGCTACACAAAGAAACCCTGTCTTGAAACACACACACACCCCCCCCAGAAATATAAAAATGAAAACCCTGAAAAACGTCAGGAGAGATGGCTCAGCAGTCAAGAGTCTTAGTCCTCTCTCAGGAGACAGGAGTGGCTTTCAGCAGCCCCAGACAGGACGGTGTTCAGCTCTGACAGCTCAGACACAGGGATGAGAGGTTCCTCAAGGCTCGGGAAATTGAGAATAAAGTCCATAGACTGGAGAGATGGTTCAGAGGTTAAGAACACTGACTACTCACCTGGCCGTGGTGGCGCACGCCTGTAGCCCCAGCCCTCGAGAGGCAGAGGTAGGTAGATCTCAGTGAGGCCAGTCTGGTGTTACTATTCTGACCCCGCCCCTTGAAATCCCGCCCCTTGGCGCCGCCCTGTGTCCTGACATAAAAGCCTCATTTTAAGAAAAAAACTCCTCCCCTCTCTCTCCTGCTTTTCCTCCCACAAGGTGTGAACCCTTGATCCCCTCTCTCTTCCTCTCTTCCTCTCTTTTTCTCTTTCCCTCTTTCCTATCTTTCTCTTCATCTCTCTATTAAAATAAGCCATTTCCTCTCAGGTGCGGCATCTGGGGTGTGGATTTGACTTGTCCGCCACTGCCCTGCTGCCGTGCCCACATGGCATGGGTCACCCACCAGCCCGGTACTCCACCTGCCCAGCGTGCCAGCATGTTTCCCTGCACACGAGGGATACCCTCAGGGTCCCCTGTGCAATATATCATAACACCTGGTCTACAGAGCGAGTTCCAGGACAGCCAGAGCTGTTACACAGAGAAACCCTGTCTAGAAAAACAAAATAAAACAAGAACATTGACTGCTCTTCCAGAGGACCTGATTTTAATTCCTGACATCCACATGGTGGCTAATAACTCATGTAATGCACAGAAATACAGAGAATACACTCATACACATAAAAATAATCTCTAATTTTTTTTTAAAAAATTGGTTTTTCCAGACAGGGTTTCTCTGTGTAGCCCTAGCTGTCCTGGAATTTGCTCTCAGACTCAGAACTCAGAAATCCGCCTGCCTTTGCACACCAAGGGCTGGGATTAAAGGCATATACCACTATGCCCAGCGCCCCCCCCCCAAATGCCTTAAAAAGGATAAGGCACATATAAATAAGTGTCCCAAATGAGAAAGACACACTGCTGGTGACAGCAGGTCCTGGAATGACACCATCAAGTTTACTGATGGGACTGGAGAGCTGGCTCAGTGAGAGCTGTCCTGGGAGACTTGGGGGTTAAGTGGTACCATCGCCCTCCTGAGCCATCTCATTGAGAACGCTTGCTGCTCTTACAGAGATCCCAGGTTTAGTTCCCAGTACCCACGTGACAACTTACAACCATCCTTAACGCCAATTCTATGGGATCTGACTCCCTCTTCTGGCTCCTCATGCACCAGGCACACATGGTGCACACACAGACATGTAGGAAAGATACATAAGTTTTTGAGACAGTAAAAGATGTGGGGGACCTGCCTCCACTTTACCCTAGGTACTCTTGAGGAGAGAGGGGTAAGAAAACATCAGGGAGAATGATAGGCCTAGCCGATGAGAGGAAAGACAGGATAGTTTCGGGAGGACCTGGGTCAATACCCAACAGCCCAGAACTTTATTCAAAGGGGCTTTTTATAACAATGCCAAGGGGCGAGGCAAAAGACACTGCCCCCCCCCCTGCTAGATACAGGCAAGTGTAGACCCTTCCAAATACCTGGTAACCATGCGCATGGTCAAATCATCCCTTTATGCAGCCCTGCTGGGTAAAGCAAGCTCGGATTCTCTGACCCTGAGTAATTTGGGCCTCTACATAAAGCTGTCTCTGCCTAAGATGCCTTCTGATTGGTTTAATAAAGAGCTAAATAGCCAATAGCTAGGCAGGAGAGATGGCAAGATTTCCAAGATTAGAGAGGAAGAAGAGATAATCAAGGCACGCAAGAGACGCCATCAAGATGTGGAAGGAGTCTGACATGCAGAATGGAAGAGAGGTAAAAGCCACGTGATAAAATATAGATTAATAAAAACATGGGTTAATTTAAGTTATAAGAGCTAGTGGGACAAGCCTAAGCTAATGGCCAAGCTTTTATAATTAATATGCCTGCATGTTGTTATTTGGGGGCAGATGGTCTCAACAAGAAAGCATATTACAGCCGGGCAGTGGTGGCGCACGCCTTTAATCCCAGCACTCAGGAAGCAGAGGCAGGCGGATCTCTGTGAGTTTGAGACCAACCTGGTATACAAAGCCAGTTCCAGGAAAGGCGCAAAGCTACACGGAGAAACCCTGTCTGGAAAAATCCAAAAAAAAAAAGAAAAAGAAAAAGAAAGAAAGCAAGCATATCATAATGTTTCACTATGTAGCTCTGACTGGCCTGGAGCTTGCTGTGTAGATCAGACTGGTCTCAAACTCAAGAGATCCACTTGCTTGAGTACTGGGACTAAAGACATGTACCACTATACTTAGCATTCAACTTTTGGAAAATGTTGGAGGCTGGTGAGCTGGCTCAGCAGGCAAAGGTACATGCTGCCCGGCCTGGTGACCTGGGTTCAACCCCGCGACTCACATGGTGGAAGGAGACCCGACTCCCACAGTTGTCCTCTTTGTGATGTGTTACTTGTGCCTGAATCCCCTCCCCCAACACATGTGCATGTTAAAAATAATGTATCCAATTTATAAGTAAAACACTACTGGAGGCTTAGAGGAAATGTGTCATAAGATAATGTTAATTGGGGAAGGCAGGGGAATTGAAAGCGGGTCTCATGTAGCCCAGGCTATGCAGCTGAGGCTGTTCTTGAACTCTTAATCTTCCTACCTACTCCTCCCAAGTGCTGGTAACATTGTAGGTTTGGTCATCACTCACGACTAAACATTAATTAAATAAACAGTCTAACATGTACATTTTATACTCTAGTGTTTCCATAAAATCTTGTCAGCCTCGAGGGACAGTCTGTGAATAAAGGGGTAGAAGAAAATCTGTTCCCATCAGCCTCTGCAACGCTGTCTAGAGAAATGTACTGTGCACCCGTGAGAAGCAGGAGGATGAGACAGACCCAGAGGCCTGAGGGGGAGTTAGGGAGTATTAGCGAACTTCCAAGGATGGTTTGGAAAGAGTGTGAAGAGTTTTCCAGAATGTACAATATAGGGAGCATGGTGGTGGAGGCCCTTAATACCAGCATCCAGGAGGCAGAGGCCGGCAGATCCGCATGAGTTTAGGACAGCCAAGGCTACCTAAGTGAGACCCTGTCTCAAAAACAAGCAAACAAGCCAAAACATAAAACACACGAAGGGAGGCAAATTATTAATCATGGGGGAGTGTGGGCTGATGGTGGGTGGGTGGGTGGTTGTGTGCACGCACATGTGTGTCTAGAACAGATTGTTACAGAGCAGTGGTTCTCAACCTGTGGGTCGAGACCCCTTTGGCAACCCCCCCATCTTCAAAACTATTTACAGTTTGTAACAGTAGCAAAATTAATTATGAAGTATAGACAAAGATAATTTTATGAAGAGAACTGATAGAGAGTGCTGAGGGCAGGGGCCACAGGGGAACCGGTGAGGGGGCAAGGGCAGAGTCACAAGATGGGAGGGGCCTAAGAGACCAGTAGAATTTGTAAAAAGAAAAAAAAAAGAAAAAGAAAAATTTTATGGTTTTGGGGGGTCACAACATGAGGAGCTGTATGTATTAAAGGGTCACAGGGTTAGGGAAGTTGAGAACCACTGGTCTAGAGCATCTCAGCCCTGGCTCACCATGCCTCAGTCCCTGCTGGGGACAGTAAGGAGTGACTGGTCGCCTGTGTGCTGTTTCTTCTTCTTTTCTTCTTTTTGTTAGTTTATTGAGACAGGGTTTCTCTGTGTAGCCCTGGCTGTCCTAGAACTCACTCTGTAGACCAGGCTGGCCTCGAACTCACAGAGATCCACCTGCCTCTGCCTCCGGAGTGCTGGGGTTAAAGGCGTGCGCCACCACTGCAAGGCTACTTGTACATAGTTTCTACCACTAAAAGAACCTCAAAGCATGAGCCCTGGAGTTCAGATGGCTGAGTCTGCCCCTCCTCCCCTCTGGACAGGAAGGACCCTGACTCTCTTAGGAAGGGAACGAAAGGGTCTTTGCTTTCTCAGTCCTGGAACAGTAAGAGGAGAGTTTTTGATGGCTTTCTGTGTGAGAGCAAATGGCCTCAGAGAAGACACATTTCTAAATTGCTCTCCAAAGTGACTCGATTTCTGGCTTCTAAAAACGCTTTTCAGTCACAAGGTTCACATTCTGCAGAAAGATGAAACTATTCATGGAAAATTATGCAACAGAGAGAGGCAGACGAGGGTTACGTCCTACCGTAGCATCTTGACTGTCTGCGTTCTTTTAGATCGGCCCTCAGTAGCATTGGTACCTTGTCCTTGAATCTCTACCACCGAATATCTAGTGCAGTGTCTGGCACACAATAGGAAATCAATGCCCACTATCTAAATGCATTAAATGTTTAAGGGAAGGCCTGCCTGGTCAGTTATTTGTTTTTTTTTTTTTTTTTTTTTTTTTTTTTTTGTGTGTGTGTGTGTGTGTGATGAACCTTCTTTCTTTAGTTCTTTATCAAAGTATTTCTCAAATTTGTGCTCTTGAAACTCCAAGAATATAAATTTACAGACGTGAAGATCCCCTGATTGAAACCACGAGCCTCTATTTGGCTATAAGGTGATTGTCCACAGAGGGGCAGTACAGTGCAATGGTTTGAAACACAGGTCCTGCTCTGAATCCCATTACCTGTTTCCCTATTTCATTATTTCCTCCTCCTCTTTCTCCTCCTCCTCTTTCTCCTCCTCCTCTTTCTCCTCCTTCTCCTCCTCCTCTTTCTCCTCCTTCTCCTCCTCCTCTTTCTCCTCCTCCTCCTTCTCTTCCCCCCTCTCTCTCCCTTTGGTTTTTTGAGACAGGATTTCTCTGTGTAGCCCTGGCTGTCCTGGATCTTACTCAGTAGACCAGGCTGGCCTTGAACTCACAGAGATCTGCCTGCTTCTGCCTCCTGTGTGCTGGGATTAAAGGGTGCGCCACCACTTCCTGGCCATTTCTTTCTTATGAAATACAGTTTTATCAGGAGCTGGAGAGGTGGCTCAGTGCTTAAGAGCACCTCCCAACTACCTGGAACTCTAGTTCTAGGGGATCCGATGCTCTCTTCGGGCCTCAACAGCACTGCTACACACTGGTGCACATACTTACGTGCAGGCGCGCGCGCGTACACACATACACATAAGATAAAATAATCTTTTTTTTTTTTTTTTTTTTTTTTTGGTTTTTCGAGACAGGGTTTCTCTGCGTAACTTTGCGCCTTTTCTGGAGCTCACTTGGTAGCCCAGGCTGGCCTCGAACTCACAGAGATCCGCTTGGCTCTGCCTCCCAAGTGCTGGGATTAAAGGCGTGCGCCACCACCGCCCAGCAAGATAAAATAATCTTATCAGCCTGCTATGGCTTCTGAGTTTTGTGCTATGCCCTGCTCTCTCAGAGGACCTAGATTTGGTTCTCAGTGCCCACACAGAGGCTCACAGCATGTGTAACTCCAGTTCAGGGGATCCAACACCCTCTTCTTCACTGGCATCGGGCACTCCCGTGGTATACATACATGTAGGCAAAACACTCATGCACATGAAGTAAAATGTTAGATTCATGTAAAAGCCATTTTTCTTATAAACAGCCCATGTTTTCTTCTAGTGCTTTTCTTACAGTCTTCAGTTTGATCCATCTAGAATTTATTTTGGTATAAGGTGTGAAGTGTGGTTCCAATTTTATTTTCTTCCAGATGGTTACCTAGTCATTCCAACACCATTCGCTTAACTCATTTCCTTACCAACTTGAAACTGCTCCTTCACAATACTCAGAATTTTTATAAAATGTGAAAGACACCCCCCCCCCCCCCGATTTAACTGGAAGGTGCACTTTCCCACTCTCTGTGTGCGGCTGTTTTTAAACGTTTAAGAAGTTGCATAGACCCATCAGTATGCAATCCTAACAAGACTTTGTCCTCACTTCATGAATTTGTCATTACCAAGCTCATTTCGGTTTCTTTCTTCGAGTGTGCTGCACACAACCTTCAAATATTATGAACATTTCTCTCTCCCAGCTGTCACTACACCAAACTACATATGTTAGATTTCCCTAAATCGTCTGCTGTCCTCTTTGCAGCTCTCCGGTATACTGTTGATGTCTTCAAACAAGTTGCTCAAAAGTTACTGCATTTTAAGTGGATTCAAAAGGAAAACCTGCCATCATTATCGGGTTCCTTCTCAAACGGACAATTTCCATTCAAGAAGATGAACAGGCAATGAACCTGGGAAAACGAGAATTTTGGAAAGCTGGCTCTTTAAACTATCCACGGGAGAGCAGTGTCCTTCAAAATGCCACTTGTTTTGGTATTTATTCCATCAAAAAGGTTCAAAAGAAAATAGAGGTCACCCTGTACTGCTAGGTCATCCTAGACACTTCCAAGCTACCTCAGCAGATGGTCTTTCAAGTGTTTCATGATTCTCTCTCTCTCTCTCTCTCTCTCTCTCTCTCTCTTTTTCTCTCTCTCTCTCTCTCTCGTTTTTGTTTTTGTTTTTTGTTTTGTTTTGTTTTGTTTTGAGCTGAGGGCTGAACTCAGGGCCTTGTGCTTGCTTAGGCAAGCGCTCTGAGCTAAATCCCCAACCCCGTTTCATGATTCTCAACAGTCAGTTTCCATTTAGGGGAAAAGGAGGCAGTCTGGAGAGATGGCCTTGCCAGGCATCATAGCTGGCCCCGGGGTTTCTATTTAAAACGGAACTAAAATGTGTTGGTTTTCTGTAGACTATTTAGAATCACGTTAGGACAAAGAAAATTACTCGCCGTCCCAGATGAGAGGGCGGCAAATGCGGAGTCGGGAGAGGAGAGGGGAACGGGAAGTCGGAGGTGCGCAGCCAGGTACGGAAAGCTTGGAGTGAAAGCAGCCTCGGGTGCGGGGAGAGGGACCCCCACGCCGGACCTAGAACCCGAACTGACGGTTCTAGGTAGCCGTCTCCCGCCCAGGTCAGCCGCCTTGGCTCTCTCCTTGACTCAGCACGTCCCTCTGCCCAAGGGACTCTGGGGTTCTCGTCTCACGCCCAAACCGCTCAGCTCAGAGCGCACATCGCCCTCCCTCATCTCAGAGGCCCGAGGGTCCCGGTCCGTCCCACCCCGCCCACTCACTGGGGCCCTCGCCCCGCCCCTCGCGTTGAGATACGTCCGCCCCGCCCACACCCGCGCCCCGCCCACACCCGCGCCCCGCCCACACCCGCGCCCCGCCCACATTGGGGGCGTGCCCTGGCGGTCCTCCTTCGGCGCCAAACTCGTAGAGATTCGACGGCCCGCTCGTCGGCCTCGGCGTTCTGGGCCCGCGTTAGAATCCGGGACCGGACGGACGGGAAAGCTTACCCGAGTGGGGACCGTAAGGGATTCACCTTGAAAACCTAGGGGAGACCGCGGGTTCGAGTCGGGGTGAGAGGCGAAAGGAGGAAGCGCGGGAAAATCTGAGGAAAACTCGAAGCGTTGAGGAAGCGCTTACTCGGTGCCCTCTCTGTGGTAACTGTGGGTCACTGTTGGCCTTGGCCTGGTGACGCTCGCCTTCCACCCCGGCCCTGAGGCGTGTGGTCATTGCGAGGCATTCCCTGCCTCCTGTCAGTGAGTCCGACCTGAGTCCTGAAGGCCTCCGCGTCAGGAGGGAAGTAGGGCCTGGGAATGCGGGCCTCAGGGGCGCTGACTGAACCGCCCGCTGAGAGACCGGGGGCTTCCGTCGGCCTTCGCCGCCCCCAGTCCCCTGAAACCCCTCCCCCAGTCCCCTGAAACCCCTCCCCCCGTCCCCTGAAACCCCTCCCCCTGTTTCCCCAGTCCCCTGAAACCCCTCCCCCCAGTCCCCTGAGACCCCTCCCCTGCCGCCCCCCGAAAAAAAAGGAACAATATTCCAGAAGAGCCCACTCAAATAGTATCCTCTTTTGTACCCCACTCTTTGCTGCCTTAGTAGTTTGTTTCCTTTGTGCTGGGCTTCAACAACTGAATTTGGTATTAAATGGGGACACAAAATAGACCAAGAACAAGGTTATTCATTTTATTGTAATGTACACACCATTATGTCTGTAGCTTCCTGGGTTTAAAAAAAAAAAAAACCCTAACTTGTCATTGGGTATTGTTTTATGTCAACTTGACATCAGCTAGAGTCAGCTGAAGGGAGGGAACCTCAATTGAGAAAATGCTCCTGTAAGATCCAGTTCTATGGCATTTTCTTTGTGATTGATGGTGGAGGGTCCAGCCCATTATGGGTGGTACCATCCCTGAGCTGGTGGTCCTGGGTTCTGTAAGAAAGCAGGCTGGCCGGGCGTTGGTGGCGCACGCCTTTAATCCCAGCACTCGGGAGGCAGAGCCAGGCGGATCTCTGTGAGTTCGAGGCCAGCCTGGGCTACCAAGTGAGC